TATCAAGTAATATATACATTCCAAAGTTGGTGAATTTTACAATATTTGTTTTCGCGTTATAAAAGTAAAATAATATTAAATAATAAATTGAGTTCAAATTGTAAAAAATAAAAATAAAAATTAATGACGTGAACTCTTAATATCTTTATCTATGTTCATTTAAATATTTTTTTCTAGAATTTTTGTCTAAAGCTTGAACTATTTTTATTTTTTTCAGAAATTTATAATTTTACTTTTTCAGATTTTTTATTTTTTACAAATTTAGCTTTTATTTTTTCAATATTTTATATTTTTTTTAATTTTAAATTCTATTCCTTTGAATTTTATATTTTTATTTTTTTGAAACTTTAATTTTAAAAATTTTATTTAAATAAAATTGTATTTAAATATTGGTTTTCCACGTGTTTTAAGTATTTCCATAATTGTCACTGAAAACACCCACAAAGTCAAAAATGTGTTTTGACTTTTGAGTTTATATTGTAAATTTAACATTGTTTTCAAAAATTCATTTTTAGAAATATCAAATCAAATACGATTTCAGCTTTTTGCAAAACTGAAATCTGAAAACATGTTGAGCCTTGAAACAGTAAACCAATCGCGCTCTTAATATTTGAATACTCAAGATCTAATTTCATTTATTTAAATTAATTTCCTTTATTTTTTTATTTTAGAAAATAATAATACATGTAATATATATTGTATGCATACAATTTAACTACACGTGTGTTAAAAGTTGTCGATCCCAAATTCAAAAAAAGACGGAGGGTTTTAATTCTTTTATTAATTATCATTTGTGGACACAAGCCAAGCTCAATCGGACCCTATTGAGCTCGTTTGTCTAAGTGTTGAGTCAGCTCGACTCAACCCATTATCACCCTCATGTTAGATGGAAGGGATGCAAAATTGAAAGATGAGCGGAAAAATAATTTTAATTTATATATTTATTAACCTTCCGCCAATGGCAAGATGGTAATGAATGAGAACTGGATTGGATTGGACTGGACTGGACTGCTCTTCCCTATCCCAAAGAGATGAAAACTAAAATATCTCAAATTTTTGTTTCTCAATTTATTTATTTTGTTTTTTAATTTATTTTTAAATTACGCTTTAAATTTAAAAATATAAAATAAAATAAATAATAAGAGTTTATGCTAGACATTTTGTCATCCATACTAGACATGATCTTTGTAGTAGGACTCGAGCAGGTAGAGTTGGCTTTTGTCTAGTTATACTAAAGACAATTTTTTTTCTTTGTCAAGTCGTGCTATATTTCATGCATTATTTTTCTAGTCATAATAGAAATAATTTATTTTCTTTATCAAGTCGTGCTATATTTGTGAACTATTTTCTCAAAATCCATTCCAAGAAACCAAGGTTGTTTTATTTATAATGAAAATTATCAGCAGTCGTCATATATTGCATATACATGATAATTTGTTATTTGATACATTAATGTAATAGTTTTTCGTTGTCTTGTGCATCGAATAATAAACTATTATATATATGTCACGTAAAACGACTATCAATAATTTTCACTATAAATAACATTATTCATAATATAATATCATTCTTAAACCCACCTCTCCAAAAGTGTCGGGGATATTTTCGGAGAAAGAGTTAGGATTTTAGTGGTTTACATAAATATTTTATAATTTTATTACAAGATCGGTTTACGGAGATTGAGACATTTTAGGAATCATTATGGGCATTGGTTAAAATTAATAATTAAGATTTAACTTTAAACCATACCATTATTATGCTCTCCTTAAAGTAAATCGTGCGGTAAAGCATTTTATGAATTTAAATAATTATCCTTTTGGTAAAATAGATTGTTATGTTATGGAAGACGGCCAATTAGGAGTGAATATTTAATTTTTTTTTTTTTTTAAGATAGAGATAATCAACGTGACATCGTATCGAATTGAGTCGATTACTTCGATTTGATACCAACTAATTGGTTATAAAGTAAAGAATTTAAAATTAATTTATATTTATAATATCTCTTAATTAAATCAATTTTTATTTTTCAGATTATTCACTCTCTCTTTCTCTCTCTCATTTATCACCCCATAACTTATCTACTCACAAATAAAAAATGGACAAATATAATATTTAATAAGTTGAAAACTAAATCAATCAAACACATTTAATTAATAATTTTCGTACAAATAAGTTCTAAAATGTATTTTCTTTTCATACAAATTTCATATTCACAATCAAACGCAAGGGATTTAATAGCTTTAATACCCATACCCAGATGCAAAGCCAAAAATTTTAATTTGTACCCCGCCATGATGCCTACTACAATTAGGTAGAGAGCACTTTTGAAAAAAATATTTTATTCAAAAAAATTGACAACATTGTATTTAAAACAATGACTAATCAGCACAAAACGCCCCTACTTTTGGGGTTGATTTTGGAAACCGTC